CATGCTCTCTTCCGCTCCGCGTCCTAATGCTACTTTTCACCCTTATGCGCCAGTTTCCGTATCTGCACCATTACCTCGGCTAATCTGGGTAAGAAAGGACCATCCCAAACAACCTGCCAAAGGCTTTCACCTCAGTAACAGTAAGCATATTTTGATGGCTCTGATTTTCTCTGGGTCTGGGTTCATTCTGTCGGGTCTTAGCATGGGCCCATGAAACAACGCTTCCGTCCTGTGCAACCAGATCTTCCCTCGCTTTAGCTTGATGTTCCTTTCAAAACAGCGCTGTAAAAATCGGTCGAGGTTCTGGCCGTGCTCCTCTCGCGTAGCGCCAAAACTAAAATGTTGTATGCTAGTCTAAAGTTGTAGCTAGTCTAAAGCATGTATCCGTCATTTACGGATTATCTCACTAGATTCTTTCAGCTCAAAGGGTGGACGAAGCCAGCGGAAACGCCTGAACGGTGTCTTAAATGTGGTCCCGTAGCTTGACCCTTCGTCAAGTAATACGTGCCAAATCACCGAAGCAAGATAGACTCTAGTAAATATTCTAGGTCCGGATGGCAAATAAATAGGTATATTTCTAGACTGGCTAGAGGCTGCACCCTTAAGGGTTCAGATCAATCTTTACATTAATCCTATGCTCTTTCATGGAAGTAGGTAAAATAGGAGTATGTTCCTAGTTGGCAATTACAAATGCATTGGCATTGTTTGGTGTACAGCTGATGGGGTAGTAGGCGCCCACCATGCAATTCTTCTGGTTCCTTCGGGCGATATTGAGTTCCTTGTTCTTTTGTTGTGAAAGTTGCGCAGGGCCGTAGTCGTGCCGGCTTTTTTGGAACAGGATCCAATTCAGCACAACTTCTCTTTAAATTCATTGGACTTTTTGGCCCGCTCAGTTGCCACAATTATTGGTGCGCACATGAAAGAAATAAAAGTGGTGGAATTATAAGGGATACGAAGTTAAAAAAAATAATTTCGAGAAATGCAGATGAAAATATAAAGGATTTGTTAAGAGACATACTAAGGCGGCGTGCTTGGCTAGAAAAATACAAATGCACCGGAGTTAAGGTGTCTAGCGTCGGTAGCGTATAACGTTTCCTTCTGATCGCGGCGTTAAGTGGTTTTGGATCAATGCAGACGCGTAGTTCTCCAGAGTTATTAGCGACCACCGTAACCTGGCTAACCCAAATGGTCGGCTCCTCAACCTTGAATATTGCACCCGGATTGGCATGAAGCTGTAGCTTGTCTAAACACTTCTCACGCAAGGCGAGAGGCACCTTTCTGGTCGGCAACACTACCAAATTAGCGGATTCGACTAAGATCAATGAGTACAACTTTCGAATCTCTATACGACCCCGTCAAACACGCTTGGGTACTTGTCAACCATATATATGCTAGCTTTACACGAATGGACAAAACTCAAGGTTAAAAGAAACAAAACCGAGACTTTGAATAGAAGCAATGCTCAAAATGGGCATAAGGTATCCTGAGACTATCAGTTGGTGTTCTGTGCCGTTTCTCGGATGGATGACCTTCAACGTAGCGGTACCTTCCCGTCGCAACTTTGAACTGTTCTACATTCCGACGCAATTCTGTGTTCTGTCACTTGTCACTCCTAGACAATGCTTCTCGGGCAGGATGCTGACAGTAGACTCTGAGCCCAGTTGGAAATGCACCGGTCGTCCCCAAAGCAAAAGCGTCTCGAAAACACACGTTATCCACGAGTTTCCAAGTTGGTTAACGAAAATTCCTGTATCTGTTCGTTGACAGTCTCGACCACTGAGCTTACCTTGGCGGGTCTGCAACAGCCAGCAAAGTGATTCTCCTTGGAAGGCTTTGTACACCTTCGACTAAAAGCTGAGCAACGCTCCTTTCTTCTTGGATGTGTGCAACCGCAAAACCGACAACTCAGACCCTGTCCTTCGGGTATCTAAGGCGGACTATTGCTGGTTGAGGATGCCGCACACAGATCGGGGTTTATTTCCGCTCTTACATGCTCGAACTGCTGCGCCGTCTTTGCTTTACTCAAGATGTCCACACATTGTTCAAAAGACAGGTTCCTATGTCTCAGAAGACACCATGTGATATCATCAACCTTTGCACCGATGAAAAAGTGCTCACGTATCAATGACGCGCTTATGCGGTTACAGAAACTGCGGTTACGCGCCAACCGTTTCAGTTCTGTGATGTAAGTCTCGAACGGTACATTTGGGGACAAATTGCGACCAAAAGATGAATACCTCTGATAGATTTCATTTGACTGTCCTTTACAAGACGCTGCAAATCTGTTTAGCACTTCCGAAAGCTTGACTTCCTCACTTGCCTCGCTCAGCACCAGTGTCCCGTGCGCCCACCTGGCTTCATCACACAGCGTACCTGAACATCGTCAACTGGTACGCCATCGGTTGAGTATCCAAGGGGATCAACTTCACGAAATCCATTTACCGCTTTCCACATCCTCCAGTCCTCGGGAAGCGTGCCTTCAGTCATCTGTAGAGCGGTCAGCAGTGTGATCGGTGGCTGTCCACCAAAAACGAGGGTTTCCGGCGCGTTTGCTTATTCTCCGCTGTTGCTATGTCATGTAGCCCCCGGGAAGCAAGAAGACTGGTCCGCGATCAACAATTCCTTCATTAAGATTGCGCTCGCATATGTGTAGAGTATATACCCTATTTGCAACAGTCCACTGCAATGGCTCATCCTCGTTATTTGCATTCCGTCGTTGGCTCCTTTTCCATTGATTGCGCTTGATCGCCACGTTCATTCTGTCTAAAATTATCTTGACTTTTTTGGTGGACTGTACGATTGGCTCGATAAGGAACTCGTCCGGCAGGCCGCGCGCTTCTTTCTTCTGTCAAATCCCACGAGCCTTGGCACGAGTGCGCATTACTAAGCTCCCCACGAGTATGCGTTTCTTCGCTTGTGTTTTTGGGACCTGCTGGCGCCAGATTGGTCACTTGCACATGCAGTGGATGATTGATGGCTGTGCTTGCAGAGCTCGACGTTGCTGTGCGTAAACCATTTGCCGCATGGCTAACCAGTCTTTTTCCGACGATATGCTCACTCGCTGTCGGACTGGGCTGCACTTGTCTGGTTCTACGCGAGATTCCCGGTGGCATTCGATTGGCCATCTTTTTATTGGTATCGCAGTATTTCCCGTCACCAGCGTTTTCAGCCCCATCACATGCAGATGCAATTACATCACACTTGTGTTGTTCCGGAAAGGTTTATATTTCACTTGGAAAGAGTAGATGAGGACTCGTAAATGAATCTGCAATCATCGCGGCAGTCTGCAGCATAAGCATCTTCAGGACATTTTGCGTCGCGCATCCACCAAGTATCGCGTCCTAGGCATTAGAAATGCTTACCAGTGCCACGCTTGTATCGTCGCGTATCACGAGTCAATCGAAATATGCGGGGTCTTCGTATGGGTGTTTGCCACAACCGTGGGACAACCGAGTGCTAAATCCGGTCATCTGCACGCAGCTGCAACATAGCGAGTGAGGAAGCACCTGCCTCCACGAACTTATTTAAGTGGCGGAAACATCAAGCTAGTGTCCGGGGCGGACTGGCCACCAAAAATAAATGCACTTGGCTGGATGGACGCGATTGACCAACCTGCAGTGTCTGAAGGCGCAGGGGGAATGTGCAATTCATTTGCCAAACTAAGGCTATGTCCGAACTGCTCCACCTAATTTCATGCACAATGTGAGAATATCAATCTAAGCGAGTTTATGTCACTCAGCAGCATTGTAGTCACATTTTGGTTCTGCGTGAAGTGTAATACCGTCCCATTAGTTTAGATCATAAGTGCACTAGCACAGAAGTGTGATAGGCTACCAGTAGTGGTTAAGCATGTTTCGAACACCGAAATATCCCCAGTAGGATTAAGCTTCTCAGAATATCTGACGCGGGTATTTTCACCGAAATCCACTGCAAGCCAATTCCAAAGCGCCACGTGCTACAATAAAAAATGACTCGTGCAACCGTCGCCACTATACTAAGTCGTCTAACGGACACCGCATACCTCATTTCTAGATCAAATGCAACAATTTAACCCAAACCAATTTCCATCCACCATTCTTCGCCATAACGCGCGGAAAGCTGGATAGCA